GCCGTTAAATAAATAGAAAAGTCAGAATATACATAAATTTTAGAGAGATATTGAAAAATGAGGTAAAGTATAAATTTAAAATAAAAAATTTAATAAATATAGTTAAATACGTAGACCCTGTTTTCTTTTATTTTTTCCTATCGAGACTGTATATATCTATATGTTATTGCTACTAACCGCGTTCCTGGATTTACTAACAGATTTATTAAAAATTGTGATTGTATAAATACATTTAATTTTTATCTTTAATTCTTGCGTTTGTCATTCATTGGAGACCGAATTTCAAAAATCGGAATCCAAAACAAAAATCAACACCTTAATTATAATCATAGTAATATATAGCTAATGAATTATTAAATGGAACGTTTATGGCACTAAATGATTGAATGCCAAGACCAGAAAAATACTTAATCAAACGAGGATGCACCACCTGAAATCAAATGTTGATAAAGAAAAATGCCAAAAAACTTTAGGAGGCCGAGGTAAAATTCAAATTGAATTAACTCAAAAAAAAAACTTAAAACATCGGATTGAAAATATACCTCAAAAAAACCAATGACTCTCTCCTACAAATAGTAAAAATACCAAATCCAATTCATCTAAAAAGAAATTCATTTTTCAATAAACAGCTTTTTTACCTGAAAATCTCATATTAAAAAAAAATTTAATTTTTTCTACGCCAAAAAAGAAACAAAAATTGTCCAAAACAAATTGGCCAAATAAAAAAAAAACAAAAAAATTAGGACAATATTTTCCTTGAAAATATACCTAAAGAACGAAAAGAAGATGATGTGATGATAAAAAATAAACACATCAGCTCAGGCCAAAGCCTCGAAACCAGATCATATCACTGTCATTGATAATATCAATCTATATAACTAACCCCCGAAAGAATCTGCGGAAAATATGATAAAAATGTCGATCATATTATCTCAGGATGTTTGGAACTAATTAAATGAATATAACCAGAGATATAACAAATATTTACATATGTGCGCTTGAATATATATTGAATATTTAAATCGAAATACTGAGAAATAGTAAAAAACCAGAATATATATAGCAAATAACGATGTAACTATCATTCACACATATCAATTTAAACTGTCAAAGAAATAATAGCCAACAGATTGATCAATATTGTTAAAAAAAAACAAAAATTTACAAATAAAGTGTATATATATTGACATAAATAATGCCCATCTATATATTACAAAATTTTGAATTAATCCTTTTTGTCCAAAAAAACGAGAACCTGGAGATCAAGATTAAAAGGATGTGAAGAATGAAGACTTTTAAACTGTACCAATAGTAATCGGAGCTCTAATCCTCGTGAAAATTAAATGAAAATTTTACTAACACTGTCTTTCAATCGCCCTACTAAACTAACATCTCATATACTATAAAAAGTGCTATCAATTAAATGGCAATTCTCCTATAACGCCTAAGGACTTTGGATCGACTCTACAGGATACAAAAAAATAAATTTTTTTATATATATATATATATATATATATATATATCATGTGTGTGTGTGTGTGTGTGTGTGTAAATGTGTGTGTGTCTGTGTGTGTATGTATTACAAAACAAAATCAAAAACAAATAGAAAAAATAAAATGTTTTATAGATCGATTTAATTTTTAACGAAAAATGTCAGTTTTATTCAACCGCCGGTGTATGGACTGTATTCGTGTCGGACTTAAAGATTCATAATTTAATGATTTGATTTTAGCAGTCGAGAAAATTGAAAAAATGAAAAAGACAGACGTATAGGTTTATTGGTTAGAATAGATCTTTTAATTATTATATTGTTTAACTTTATTGTATATAAAAATAAGCTCTGTTAAAATAAATACATAGAACTCTTTTTTAAAGATCATTTTAATATTTGATATTACTAGGATCCATTTTATTATATACAAAAGGACTTAAATTAATATTAAATATATATATATATATATATATATATATATATATATATATATATATATATATATATAAATATATATTTAAAGACCTAAAAATGTATATTTACACTTTAATGTTTTTAAAAAAACTGATGTATTTTCTTTCTACATTAAATAAACCAATTAGAATTAACGATGGCAGTCAAACTATGATTTTTGAGAAAATTCATTCTAAAATGAAAATGGAAGTGTAAAAACGTATTTGAAGTTCAAAGACAATTTAGGTGAGAGTTTCAGACAGATCCACCAATTTGACTTATAATCGTTCGAATTAGAAATAAGATTGAAGCCGATGAAACTTTTCAGAATTATTCACGAAGATTCAAACAGACCGCAGACATCAAAAGGACCAAAAAGCAAGAAAAGTATCCAAAACGTATCACCAAAGTCCAATATCTATGAACAAAATTTCAAATTTGATGAGGTAAATATTTCAAAATCGTCTGTTCAACGAATTTTGAAGAGCTCTCAATGGAAAAGATACGTTCCAAGATTAGTCAATGCTATTAATTACGATGATCCAAACCGAAGAGTAGAGGTAGATCCTAAGAACAGGTGCATTGGACGAAGGGATATCGTAGAATATATAAAAAGATTTCACTAGCCCTAAATCAAGAAACCTTTTTATGATAATTAAAAAATTACATTTATCTACTAAAAATCTAATGCAGTTGTCATTAAGAGCTGTCAACAATTGATTTCATACTTCTCGATTATTCTTTTTTATATGTACTTTTCATTGATGTAAGTTTATACATATACATATATATGCCCGATGTAAAATCAAAATTCTCCATTTTTTAGATTAAGCTTTGAACCGTTGTATCTTGGAAATGATTAAAGATATCTTACTGGAATCTCCAAGGTTTTTATAACACTATTGGACTATACTTTCAGCAATAACAATATATAATTACTCTCCAAGCTTAACAGAAGAATCGTGATGAAATCGATCATAAACGAAAATGGCATGTTCGTCATTGATTAATCATAGTAAGGATTAAGGATTGAAATAAAGTTCATAATATATATATATATATATATAAATATATATATATATAAATATAATATCCCAGGATCATTTTCCAACTTATTCAAGATGATCTTCGCCCTCTTTAACCTTCTAACTTTCTGTCCTGGAGTAACAAGTTGCCTCACAGGTTTCACGTACGATTTCATTTTCAAGTTTTTTTTTCACTGCTCTTTGGACTGTCATAGCTGAAACTCCTCTCTCACGTGCCAAACGTCTTATGGATTGAGTTGGATCTTTTCTAATTGATCTCTTTAGCTCTAAGTTGAAATGATGATCCCTCTTCCTGTTGTGACCTCCTGATCCAGTTTTCCTCTCTACTGTTCCCTCTTTTTTAAACTTATTCACCATTCTCTTGATGGTTCTTGAATGGACTTTGAAGATGGAAGCCAGAATATGAATGTTGGTAACATTACTGAAGGCCTGAATGATCTTTTTTTTCTCACACCAAATGCTCATTTGGGAAGACAGTGGGGGCTGACACAAAACGATTTTAACGTCTTATCTTCTAGCCTGAATAACTCAAAGTCAATTTTTAGCGTGATTTTTTTTTTTTTTTAAATTAGGTTTTAAGATGGACAAATGTCTTATCTTTGGAAATTTTGCTGTTACTGGAAAAAAAAAACTCAATTCTTTAGTTTAGCCGTGCTTTTTTTAGATATTAAACATTTTTCTCAATGGACAATTGGATGATGTTACGTTGCAACCGGTCTATGTTAGATGGACGCGACAATACGAATTTCTGGGTAATCCGTACCTTGCCTTGCCTTCCACCGCTTACTCGCCAAAAGTCTTTATCACCTTATTCGGCTTTTGGATACCAGCACACTGGAGGAATCTCTTTAAGGAAGCAGTAGGAAATCCTCTACAGCCAGCCCCAAACAACACCAGGGTGAAGCCGTATCCCCTCTCACGGACTTCAGCCACCAGTTCCTCAAACTGAAGCAGCTTTCTTTCGTGAGCCTTTTCAATCCTTTTCTCCCATGCCACCGTCAGCTCGCCAAACAACAGATGTTTCTTCTCACTATCAATTAACATTAGATCTGGTCTCAGTCCAGACACAGTAACCTCCACTGGCAGTGTAGTATCAACCAACACTGTCCACTTCCTTGAGTCCTCCGACCTAGTCTTCTGCTTTGAGTCAGTCACACCTTGCTTCAGGAAGTCAATACTTCGCAGGTTCGACGCAGGTCTATTAGCACTTCTCGAAGCTGATACCACAACCTCCGTGACCAAGTTATGTCTAAAGGTGTAACCAGGCATTCTGTAGCGCCTTTGGGCAGAATGATAGTATGTGACACAGGTTTCCGCATACACCACACAACCGTCAGGAGGGTGACTCGGGCATACCCCATCTCCTAAAATTTTCCGGTGATGCCGCAACATCATACGCTGCCTGAATGAGGAATCTTAAATGTCCAGCGCTGAGACGCCACCAATCAGACCAACTGATCTGAACGTCATCATTACCCTCCCAGGTGAGCCATCGACCCTGCAGATCCTGTTGGGCCGACTCCACCAATCGTCTCTCCTCCTCGAGCTTCCGAACCCCTGTTCCTGTAACTGTAAATGTTCGAATCTTAATAACAGGCCTGTATGCATATCCAAGAGCAGGTTTACAGATAGATAGATAGATAGATAGATAGATAGATAGATAGATAGGTCAACAGACTGGGATAGATAGATAGATAGATAGATAGATAGATAGATAGATAGATAGATGTGAATAGTCTGTTTAAGATAATAGATAGATAGATAGATAGATAGATAGATAGATAGATAGATAGATAGAATAGATGGGATAGATAGATTGATAGATAGATAGATAGATAGATAGATAGATATATAGATAATAGAACATTTTACTAGATAGATAGATAGATAGATAGATAGATAGATCAACAGACTGAGATAGATAGATAGATAGATAGATAGATAGATAGATAGATAGATAGATAGATAGATAAGGGTAGAGAGGGAGAAAGATGTAAGTCCGTTGTGTTCTTAGGCGTGAGTCGCTAGGTAGATGATTGGCAACAGTTGCTTTCAAGTTGCCCGAAGCAAAAGCGGATCCTTTTGAAGTGAGTGCGTTCTACTAAACATTTGGGTTGCTGACGTTGCTTATATTTCTTTCTGGAGTCTCCGAGCTTAAGACCTTTGAAAACCAAAATGGAATGATCTGATTGGTCCATTATTGTCTCTATTTGTCACTTGGTATTATTCCTTACTCTGTCCGCTCAGATCAGATTCCGTGAAACCTAATTTGAAATTGTTAATATTGGAATCGCGAGCATTGATCCTTGTGTGGGTATGTGTGCATTACCCACAAATGGATGTACAAGACACACAACAGAATGGATATCTCCTTCTCTGGTTCTTACGTTTTGTTTTGTTTGTTTAATGGCACATCAACATCTTATGGGTCATTTAATGCCGAAATTTAATTTCGAATTAACTTTGAATTAATAAAAATATGATATATGTTATTCTGCTTTCACAATTGAATACATGGTAGATAATTCTCTGCTTTTGTGCATATATATGTTTGTGTGGACGTAATTAATAGAGACAATGATACTTAAGTTTTATGTTGTAGTTTTGTTGTGAAGTTCTGTTTTGGAATACAGTTTGATTTCTCTAAGAAATTCTAGGATGTTATATGGATTAATGTCATGAAAAACCTTCTCTCATGTTGATTGTTTGATTTTGTTTGGCGGCATATCAACACATCTATGGGTTATTTAATGCCGAAATCTAAATATTTTGAACACAATTTTATGGCTTCATCTACAAATAACAGAAAAACAGAAGAAGTCGTTTTTTATTGGTTAAAACTAGCGGGGGAATGTTAGATAGAAAGAGAGTGAAGATGAAGACTAATTCACTTCGTTATGTGCTAATAACCTTGAGAAAGGTGTGAATCCTCTTCTTCTCCCTCCAGCTATGGGTAAATAGCATGACAGACTGGGTTCTATAGCCTTGGATGGCAACTGGTCTAAGAGAAGAACAACTCTGAATTCAAAAAATTGCGGAGGGTCGTTTGGGGACCTTGTGGCACTTAGTGCACCAGGTCTCTGTATTCGGCCCTTCAATCTCCTTATATTTGTCATTTTACTATAAAAATTGTATTTTTTTTTTTTACTTTCATTGTGTTTTGGGGAGCGATAGGGTAATGGATAGCTGCTAGGATTGAGAAATCCAGTTGGATTCATTAGATTCACTTAGCCTTGGGAAAGGTATGAATCTTCTTCTCCCCGTCCCCAGCTACGGGTAAATAGCAGGACTAGGTTCAATAGTCTTAAATGGCAACCAATCTCGGAGAAAGTAACTCTAAATTCAAAAACTGTATATAGCCTTGGGGTAGCATATACTATACAGCTAAAGAAAGAATCGTTCGCATTGGCTCGATGATACCGACTACGGTCGAATTCTGATGATGAGTATTTTGCTTTTGTTTGGGGGGGGGTTCACTATTCGCCTATAGCTTAGACCTTACGACGCCAGGTCAGGGTGGACCGAGGAACAAAAACACTTAAGAGGTGATTCCGCACTCCTTAAAACCTCTAATCTCCTGATAAGAGGGTCTTGTTGTCGGATGTAGTTAAGTAAATTTAATTCTGAAACCTTTGCTCTGATTCTTTTCAGGGGCGCTGTTTTGAAATATTCTGTTTTTATAAGCAAATTTTGACGAGTGATGAAAAGTGGATACTTTACAGCAGCATGGAATGCAATAGATCATGAGAAAAGTGAAATGAATCAGCACTCATCTAAGCAAGGTGATGTTGCGTATATTGCAAGACTGGAAACTAGTCTTCCATTATGAGTATTTTGCAATATTCCGTTTTTGAAACAAATTCTGATAATGAAATCTAGTTATTTTCCAAGAACACCGAAGGCAAGAAATCACAGGGCAAGGGAAATCAACCACCGCTGAGTTCATTCAACGAAGGTGATATTGTGTATATGTTCAGATTAGATGCAATGACTATTTTCTGGAGAACTCTATGAAATATTCTGTTTTTATAATCAAATTCTGTCGGGTGATGAAAAGTGGATACTTTACAGCAGCATGGAATGCGATAAATCATGAGACAAAAAAGGTTTGGGTAGCCAAAGTTAAGCAACGTCGAGTCTGGTTGGTACCAAAATGGGTGACCGTTTTGAAATACCAGATGCTGTAAGTTTGTGTGTGCAGGTGGTGTAATAGATAAAAATCAGAGAGGCATTTGGGTTCGTGCAAACAGCCTTGAGAAAAGTATGATTCCATGTCCTCTCCTCCCAGTTATGGGTTAATTAGTAAAAATTATATCAGTAAATAATTATTCTGGGGAGGTCTTGGTCACTGCGCCAAATAAATGAATTCTTGCCTAGCCACCTCGTTCTGGGAGGGTCTTTTGGTTGACGAGGTCGATTGCATTATCGGCTGATCGATAGTGGGTTTGTTCGGAGGTAAAATGAGAACTTCCAAAAAGGGATTTTAAACTATATATATATATATATATATATATATATATATATATATATATATATGTGTGTGTGTGTGTGTGTGTGTGTGTGAAACTTTATTCCAATACTTCATGAGCTTCCGATCCTTAGCTATAATTAATTATTAATGATAAAGTATGTTATTTTCCTTCATGATCGATTTCATTACGATTCTTCTGTTAAGCTTGGAAAGTAATTCCTATCGTTCAAAGTAGAGTCTAATAGTGTTATAAAAACCTCGGAGTATTCCAGTAAGATATCTTTAATCATTTCTAAGATACAAAGGTTCAAATCTTAATCTAACAAATGGACAATTTTGCTTTTATACGTTTGGACAATTTTGTTGTTACACCCGGCATATACATAAATATATATCTATTTTATTCGACACGTGTCGACGTGTACATTTTTAACAAGCCAGTGAGTTCGCTCTATCACCCCCCCCCCCACTAGGGATCAATTTCCCCGAGACACGAAATAACCACGTCTATTGTGTATGACATGTAAAACTTAACTCTCTGAAATCTCTTTCTATCTAACATTCCTCCGCTAGTTTTAACCAATCAAAAACGACTTCTTCTCTTTTCCTGTATCTGACCTCAAAGGTCAAAATGAGTCAGAGGGGAATACAGTTTTCTAAAAATAATAGAGTCTGCTAGACTATTATTTAACAGAAGTTTCCACTCACATCGTAATTTGTAATGAGGTGGGTGGGCCAATTAAATGATAACACGAGACTTCTGCATTCTGCGGCCGGGAGAAATCCTCACTCACTACTGCAATTCGCTTCTTTTAAAGGTCTAGTGTGAAATTTGAGTGCAATGTCTATCCAGCATAATACTACAGTATTACATTTTTATATAACCACTTATTTTAGTCTTTGCTGAAATATCTTAAAGAAAATTTCTATTCTGTGGACGATTGCAAAAGACACTTAAAGCCGTTGAAAGTTTTAGGAGGATGGAATCATGAAGTTGCCAGGTGACAGAATGGAATAATTGTTCAATAAATATTTCAATAAAATTCATCAATAAATAAAAGCTGAAATTTGTGAAAAAATTTTAAACTAAAAGAAAAGCACACAATTACATCATCACATGTACTGTAACTATAACAACAGTGGTGTGCCTAGGGCAAGATAGTCTGACGGAGCCCATCCCTCTTCAGGCTAGTTTTTAGTTAAGTTTTCCTTCTAGATTGGTTGCCACCTAAAGGCAAGAGAACCCAGTCAGACATGCTATTTAACCTATAACTGTGTGAATGGGATTGATTAATACCTATGTACTGCATCCATAGCAGCAGACATGTGTCTAGGACAGAATAGCCTGATGATGGAGTCCACCCTGATTCAGGCTGGTTTTGAATGCAAATGTTTCCTTTTCTTTGACTGGTTGCCACCTTAATGCAACAGAGCTCATTCTGGCAGAAGATGGATTCATGCCTTTTCCAAGGGCAGTAGTGTGATGTGGACAAAGTAGAATTGAGCTGGAATTGATCTTGGTTCCCTAATTCATTTTTCCACACTTCCAAATATGGAATATTTATGTTCAAATAACGCTTTAACTGTTCAAAATGTCAAAAAGAAAATCATTACACTCTCATTGTGTTTTGTAAGTCAATGTTTTTACAAACAAACGAAGTGGGAAGATAATATTGAATCTATTGCTAGGTTTACTGCTTAGAAAGTTGATTCACTGTGTCAAGCAAGATAATTTTTCTCTCCAGAATCTATCTTACATATCTTTAAGTCCACCATTTGTCCATGCTTAGAATATTGCTGCGACATTATGGTACTTAAACGTTTTAAATTTAAGCACAGTACTAGACTGTCATTAAGGTCTCATCAATTTACAGTTGAGTTGGAAAGATGTAGCCATAAGTTCTATGCTGTTTCTTTTCTCGCTCGTGGAACCGCTTTTGACTCGATGATTTCCAACCAACTTTATTCAGTAAAAATTTATATTTAATTTTCCTGCTCATTAGTAATATTCTGTTCCTAATTCTTCCACACCCTTTGTGTCTTAGTAGCTTTACTGTCTTGCATGGGATGATACTGGTTAAAAAAAAAATAAAAAGGTAAAATTTTCAGGATATACTTACATAATAAATAGACCATATAAATTCCAGTTTATGATAATTGTTTTTAATAGAACTATTTATACTTAAAAGCCACCCTACTGAATGGCATTTAAGCTAGCTTCTACAGAGGGCTCTTGATTGGGGCTTTGGCTTGTTCAGTCTTTGCATATTCTCATCATTGGAATCTCTTCTGTCATTTGATCTGTGTCTTCATTTACACAGGACTTTCTTTTCCTCGCTGCAGCCTTGGCTTTTTTTTTATTGCAATCTGGTCTTCTGTTGACAGAGATTTCTTTTTGTGAGGCATACTGACACCGTATGCGATAGGCAACAATAAACTACAGAAGAACTCAAATTTAATAGCTGCATTTAAGTATTGCATTAATATTTAAGCTTACCTTTTAAAAGTTCAATGATAATTCTTTTGCTGCCACTTAAA